TCTTTTTTTCCCCCCCCCCCCCCCCCAAATTCCATCATGCTTCAATTAGTTGCATTACTAGTTCACATGTTATAGTAGTTCTTGGTTACTTTAAGTTAGATTGCCACATCCAACCACTGCAGACAGACTTCTGCATTCAAACAGAACTGTCAGATTGGCCAGAGTAAGCTGGGTTAAGTTAGGTCAGATTAGGTTTGTGCATTACGATACTGCGCAGCCACCTTCTCACTACAGCAGACCTTGCTCAGGCTAACGTTGGGTGGATCTTAAAAAAACATTACACACTGTAACAGTTCTAGTTTAGATTCGCTTAGTTAATCACATCTGACCATTGCATGCCCTCTTCTGCATCAGTGCAATGATTGGTTGGCCTGACCATTTGATTGTTAGCATCATGCAAAAGATTGCTGAACTCCATATACTCATATAGGCAGGGCTTAGCCAAATGGTGACTCAATAGGATACCATTATGTGGCACATCAGATCACAGGCCATGTGCAAAGGAAACTTGCAGAATTTGTTATATCTGCCTATATATTGAATTGCACCCACGGACAATATATCTTTTTCACGGGCCCATGTTGTACTGTAAGATGCAATGTAACTACTAAAACATGTATGAACAAGTAACATGGTTTAGCAACCAGATATAACTTCATGCTTAAAGTAGACTAGAAGTTCAATGAAGTTTTACAATATATCACAATCCAAACTTACCCTGCAACAGACATGGATCACCATTTTATAACAAAATTTTTTAAATATACAGCACAGATCCTAATTTTAGTTTTCCTGCAGTTTATGACATGGTGAGGAGTGAGATTTCAGGTTCTCATAGCAGTGAATTGGGAGCCAGGATCCAGTAGGGTAAAGAATTTTCTGGGGTCCACACAACCTCTACCCAATGGGTACCACGGCCCCTTTTCCTGGGGTAAGTGGCCAGGGTGTGAAGCTCACTACTTACCTCCAGCTAGTGCAAAGGTCAAGAAAATATAGATCTATGTATCAACTCCCCCATATGCCTTCATGGCAGTGTGTTTGATTCATTGATCACAGGGACCACTTTGTCTCTTTATTTGCCATGGCAGTGAATATGAAGTTATGCAATCTAATATGTATTTATTGACATTTTGGGTGAACATGTTGCCTCCATCTTCCAGGTAGACCAGATGAAAGTATTACTGTGAAAAGGAGTACTGAAATTTTGGAGGAACTTGCTGCCTCTGCCATCAGGGTGCAAGACAGATGCAAGGACAACTGTGAAGGACATAAAATACCTATTTCATGGCACTACCGCATTTTCCTGGAAGAATTAAGGGCAATCAGTTTCAGTACATACTGCTCCCAAACCATAATAATGCGGGGACCTACATACACATTTTCTATGTATTACAGTTGAGTCGATCTGCGTAGTTCAGAACATGATGTTTGAGTATAAGGAAATTAACAAGTTCTGGGATGTGAAGCCATATAGTTTCATACATAGGTACCGATGTGTTTGAAAACTCTTTATCAGCTGCACAGAATCACTCCCCAAAAGATCATACTCTCCATATTCATCCCATGAGAATCTCAAATCCCTCACACATTTCAGCAAACTGGTCAATCAGTATACAAGACAGTAAATAAGAAACAAAATTTGCAGCAGTTTTAAAATAACTCTAGCCTGTATAAACACAAAACAATTTTACTGCTACAAAATTCTGTATAACACAACTCTTATATTCATATAAAACTGAGAGAAATAACTGCAAGCATCCAGTCTTTACTAAACAAATGAAGGCTTCATGTTTCCATACTTAACAACACTAGACACAATTAGGTTTCTATGAAATTATTGTCCAGTTGTATAAAGTCATATCTTTATTAACAGTACCCAAAAACTGCAAGTAGCAATGAACTCTATCTCTTACACAACAAATACTGTATCTATTGCAGAAACTGTAACCAAAAAGTTTGAAACAAACGAATAACAAGACCATCATGAGTGGTATTTTGGCAAAGTGATGTGAGCCTCCTGACAATTCACCATACAAGATTTCATATAAAACACAAATCAAAAATGTCACAGGCAAGCCAAACAGGAGTGTGAGTTGTGGTTTCAGTCTGGACAATTTGTTTACTGCTGTTTACAGTCAGCTGGGTTGACGTTCTTAGCAGCTGCTGCTGCACGCTTGTTTCCCGGATTAAATTCTGGATCCTCGTCATCCTCCTCCTCTCCTTCTTCACCCTCTTCCTCTTCTTCAAAATCTTCATCTTCCAAGGCTTCTCCTACAAATGTAAAAAAGTATGAGCATACCAAACCAAAACCAACTCAACTTCACGGAGGTCAGCCCTTCTTGAGAAGATGCCAATTCTGCAGCTACTAAAGAATTTCCCAATATTTTATGGAACCTGAAGGTTCATTACCATTTTCACAAGACCTCCAGTGGTCCCTATCCTGAGCTAGATCAATCCAGTCCATACCACCCCACTCTATCTCTCTTAATATTCACTTAAATATTACCCATCCATCTAGTATACTGAATGCAATGTTTCTGCCTTCAGGTGGAATTTGAAGGCACCTATTCAGCTGAGTCTTTAGGAAGCCCTAATTTCAATCACTCATCCTTTTATTGAGTGCATCACATATTAGCGACCAAGAAACTACAACACACAAAACTTAAGGGGAACTCTCCTTGAAGAATGAGACACCATTTCTCTTTGGTACTTCTCAAAACGTCTCCTCTTGTGTTTTAGGGATATACACATGAATAATAAAACCAAGTTATGTAAACTCTGAAATAAATAAATAAATGTACATATGTGTAAGTTTATCTTAATAATTATCTGAAAATTATTTCAGTTCTTTCTTTCACCTTTCAAGAACCTAACAATGAAAGGTTCATATTCTTGGAAATGTGGTAGACCCCATATCCACTACTTTCTAACTGTCTAAGTGCTGGATCAGACATCAAGGCCCCCAACTTCAAGTCCAAGGATGTGATGTGCTACCTGGTCACAACTACTGCACACCTCAATGAGCAGTGAGAAATGAGTATGGTGCAATAGTGGAATGATGATCCCAAAGGGTCTTACCTGTGAAGTATAGAATGGCACGTGGTACAATTCGCTCTCTGATGTAATGGCCGATTTCAAAATCACTTGTCAGCAGTGCACGCGCATCCTCCTCCATTTCCACCTCAGGATCGTCTGGAACTATAAGAATGAAACATTTTAATACAATTACGGAGTTCAGACAACATAACCCCAGCTATGCCTATAAAACTGAAAAATTTCAATTCAGTCAGAAATAATATAAATATGTCAGTCTTGCTTACTGTCGATATCTTCATGAAATTATTAGTGGTGCCATATTACAATTGCCAAGTTTTGATAAGCAACAAAAAGCTATCATGAAATACTTACTAGGTGGAGGTGAGAAGAAATTGAAAAAAGAGTCATTCTGAACAGTTTTTGTTACAGTTCTAACTGATCCTCTTGACTTATGCTTCTGCTTCTTCTTGATCGTTTTCACGGTTACATTTTTCCCCTTCTTCCAATCAATGATGCAGCCCTAAAAATCAATGGCACGAACATTCCTTTTACAAATATAATGGACAAATTAGCATAGGTAATTTGGTATAGCAATGGGCTAAAGGTGGGATGACCAAGGGGTCAGGTTTCAATTCCTGGGTAAGACATTCTTCTCTTCACCAGTGTCTAGATCAGCACTGGGGCACACCCGCTTTCTATCTAATAAGTACTATGTACGCAGTAGCATAGTTGGTTGAGGCACTATGCTACAAGCTGGAAGGTCACACGATCAAATTCTGATGAGGTCATTGGAGTTTTTTTTCAATTTACCTAATCCTTCCGGACGCACTATGGCCCTGGGGTCGACTCAGCCTCTTAACAGAAATGAGTACCAGGAATATTCTTGGGGGTAAAGGGCAGCTGGCGCATAAGGCTGACAACCTTACCGCCATCTATAAGCCGACTGTCTAGAAAATGTGGGAACCTCAACATCTCACAACCCTATGGGTCTCCATGACCCGTTACAGGATTAGCTGTATTTACTTTTAAGTACTAGGTACTCTTTCTCCAGGGGTAAAGCGGTCAGGGAATGAAAATGACTTAGTCACAACCAGGTTAAGAATGCATGGAGCTAAACCTCCCCTTCTCAATTTATCAGCAGGCAATTATTTTGGATGGCAGGTCATATCACCAATTTAGTAAGAGTTATGGGCCACACATCTTAATTGATGAAAACATGTAAATGTTAATTTCAGGTCTCTTATACAGAGACAATCAAAGGCACATTACAAACAAAACTGGAAAGAAGTAAACCAAACCAGAATACTGTCCACAGGACTAGCTCTATCAACTCAGTCCAACTGAGTGGGTTTTACCTGAAGATGGAGACTGAATCCGGTCTCCAAAACACTGTTTCAAAATAATAAACAGGATGGTGTTTCAGATAAAAACAGGACTACCGATAATTCAATTCAATTCATGTATATTTACATGCAAACTTAACAGCACAGAGGCCAATTACTAAGCTAGCATGAATAGAGAAATACACAAAAATAATTAAAAAAAATAAAATACAAAAATTATAGTCTATATTAATTACACAGCATGAATAAAGATACAGAAGCAAACATACACAGACAAAGCCACAAAGTGAGAATTTGAGTTTCAATTAGAGCAGCATACAATAATAATAATAGTACTAATAATAATAATGAAATTAATCAAAATAATAATAATAGTTTAACTAATTCAGTATAAGATATGTTTCATCAACAGAGTTTTGGTCCAAAGACGTCAACGTCCCTACAAACATTAGCAGCAGAAGCACATCCAGCAGAGGGGCAATTTAAACTAACAGAACAGACACTGAACACAGGAAAGTCTTTGATATATCGAACAGGGACACAAAGGCCAACAACTTTCAAAGCAGAAGGGCAAAGTACAGAACCACGATAAACTTGAGTAAGGAAGAGCGCATCAAGATGATATCTTCTCTTTTGCAAGGTGTGCAATTTCAATTTTTCTAAGGCAAATTCGTAACAGTAATCTACTTGAGGAAAAAAAGTTTAAAACAAGAGAGCCGTAAATTTCTGCTGAATGCGTTCTAGTTTGTTTGCATCAGTTGACGTAATGGAATTCCAAACTACTGAAGCGTATTCAACCTTGGATCTAACTAAAGTAAAGTATAATATGAACATGCATCCAAGGGTCAAATAGTTAAATGTAATACTGCGAATTATACCTAGCATCTTAATACAGTGTGAAAAAATGAAATTAACATGATCATGAAAATGAAGTTTAGAGTCAAGGTATACGCCCAGATCTTTCACTGAATAAGTTCAAGTTATAGTGAAATAAAGAAGTTTTTATTCATATATCAAATAGTTAGTTTTCCTGGAGAACATTTTAACTTTTGTTTTGTTAATGTTGAGTTTTATATAGTTCGCTGCACACCAGCTACATATACAGTCGACATCAGACTGCAGAAGATAACATTTTTCAGGACAGGTAATAGCACGGTAAATTAATATCATCTGCAAAGAGTAGGTACCTGGAGTGCTTAATTGAATCACACAATTCGTTTATGTAGACACTGAAAAGCAGAGGCCCAAGAACAGATCCTTGTGGAACACCGGACAATACTTCAAAGGGTGATGAAATAGTTTCACCAATACGGACCCGCGATTGTCTGTTGGTTAGGTAACTGCGTATCCAGTTTACATAACCACCAGAAAATCCAAGGGCACTCAGTTTGTGAAGAAGAAAGACGTGGGGAACAAGGCCGAAAGCAGAAGTTAGGTCAAAGTAAATGGCATCCACTTGACGTTGAGAGATGACTAGGGGAGTAATAAAATCAAGATACGTTACTAGATTGGTGATGGTGGATTTACATTTTGTGAAACCATGCTGGCAGGGAGTTCATGTGAAACATGGTCATGGATAACATATTCAAATAATTTCGAAAAATTGTTAAGAATCGAAATAGGTCTGTAGTTGTTGACTGAGGCACTATTGCCTTTCTTAGATAGGAACAACTGCCACTTGCTTCCATAATGCAGGGAAACACTGTTGGGATAGACTAAGATTGAAAATATGCTTCAGGACAGGTGCGAGTATATCAGAACACCCCTTAACGACAAATGCATGGATGTTATCAAGACCGACAGATTTGGATGGTTTCGGATGTGAAATGGCTTTAAAAATGTCTGAATCAGAAATAGGTGATATAGATAGAGATCGGAATGATGATAAAAGGGAGGGGAAAACCCCTAGAGAGGGACTATTATACACTGACTGAAAGTGATTAGCAAATGCGTTGGCAACTTCATAGTGGTCTACCAAATGAGTACCATCAGCTACAAGCCGAATAGAAGTGGAACGTTTTTTTCATAAAGGACGCCATGTATTTCCAAAATTGCTTGGGTTGTGTCTTAAGGTTCACAGTAATAGACTCCAACCATCGAAATCTGTCGACCTTTATTGTAGCTTTGACTAGTTTACGATAGAAGGAAAAAGTACCGTATAAGCTGGCGGATTTATGCTTCTGAAAGCGCCTGTAAAAGTAGTTCTTTTTCCTACTGTAGTATCATAAAGAACTAGAAAACCAACGTGGGAATTCAGATTATAGCGTCTTGGACAGCTGCACTGAGGCTGGTGGCAGCAGCATCTACAGAACTGGTGTCATATACACACAACCAGTCAAAATTTGAAAGAATATTATATAATAAGGCATAAACACCAGCTATATATTTATGATAAGAATACTCACAATTTTGAGTAGGGTTAACAAGAGGCAGCCTAATGCCAATAACCATAGGAGGGTGATAAGTATCGGGCTTTATTATTCCTGCTGCCAACAGAATCGATGCACTGTTGCAAGTTAAGTAGAAATGTGGAGGTGTAGATCGCATCACCTCTGAGTTTAGAGTAATAATGGCAGTCAGGACCGGACAGACCATGATTCCAGTCGAAACCAGGAGTGTTGAAATCCCCCCATCATAACAACTCGAAAGTTTCTGATATCCAGCCTATCTTCTAAAGAGCGAAAATAATTGGCAGTGACTTCAGGATTTGTATCAGGGGGAAAATAATGGTTTCCAATGAGCAAATTCTGATGGTCCAGAGTGGGAATTTCAACCTAAACTCATTTGTTATAGGATTCTAAATCATACCTATGTTTAAAGGAGCAAATTCTAGAAAAGAGGGCAGTAAGAACTCAACCGCCACGTGTCTTATTGGCAGACACCCGATCGGAGCGTAAAACCGTGTATCTGTCAGGAGATAGATTATGATCTAAACACAAATCATTAAGCCACGTCTCAGTCAAACAGAGGAGATTGTAATCGACAGAACAGACATTACTGTAAAGTTTGAACTGCTTGGCCCGAAGGCCTCTGACATTTTGATAATATATATCAAAACATGTTACAGGTTGTGTGTGTGACCCGGCTGAAGCACGTGTTATTCAAGTATGTCAATGCCCTCCAGCAGGTCTCCTTCAGGACTAACAGAGCTCCTAGTATGGTCAGGGATAGGAACACCTGTCGGGGGGGGGAAGGGCCTAGACACAGCCAACTGTTCCGCAGAGTAAATCTGGTCTGGATTTAATCGCCCATAATAAAGGGCGATTAGACAACCAATTGGCCAGACATCTGTATTGTTAACTAAATGAAAAACATCTTCCGAAACAGCAATGTGAAGTGAGGAATATGAACTAAATTTTGTTTTTAACTTAGTGCATTTTAAGGAAGCAAGCTCCAATTGATCTTTTAAAGACTGTTCAATGTCAGCTGATGTTATGTCAGGAGAGCAGCAGGAGACAAAAAGTGCCTTGGTTCTAACTCTCTTGGGTACCGCTGAAAGAGATGAGCCGCTTTTGTTACCAAAAAGTGGAGTCCTAGTTCTCCTCGGAGGGTTGGGCACCCCTGAAGGGATGATTTTCCTTCCTTTTCTTCAGAACTGTTGTGAAACCATCAGCCGCCTGGTTGTCGCTGGTCATAGCAGAGGGCTCAGGTAGTGAGGTCTGTTGGCTGGGTCCGAATGAAGCAGCAGTGGAAGCAGGGTGACCACCACCCAAAGTTAAAACATCCCTATAGGTTTTAGCAGCAGCAGCATCACTTGTAGATGAAAGGGCCTCTGTTGGTGTGGACGGTGGAGGTGTATGAAACTGGCGTAAATCCCGCAACTGGAGTTTTAGAGCAGTATTATCACTTTTAAGTACTTGCATTTCACAGCTAAGCTTTGTGACCATTTCCATAAGAGACTTCACCATCTCCATTAAAGCGAACCTCTTCAAGTTGCTGGCTAAGGGAGTCATTATCCCCAGCAGGAGATGCAGAACGTTCCATCCCAGAGGATATCTTGTTTATATGATTCTTAACAAGCGACTGCTCCTTCCCAATAACGCAATTATCGCATGTGAAAGATGACTTACCAGTAGCAGCGTCAACGTTGCACTCAGATATATTAGTTTTCAGGCAATTACAGTGGAAACGTAATTCACATACACAACAGCGAATGCATTTCTGCTTGCCATAAAATGGTTTATCACAAAGGAGACACATGTCCTTACTCGCCATAACTACAGAAGTAGTATGCCCGTCTACACTAAACACTCTTTAACTTGCCTAGCACTCAAGCAGAGCAGGAGCAACCACACTGCACGTCCATCCACAATATTTGTGCTCCAACATAAAATTTCCCAAACTCTACTAGGCAGTTCTCAACTTGAACATGCAGGTAGAGACAGGCCCAACCTACATGCGCTCTTTTAATGAACATCATTTAAAGAAAACCTAGTAAGGATTAAAAAAAGGTTTAAGAAAATCAAATCATGTACCATGGATTTACTTAATAATAATAAAAACACTAATTAATAACAAAAATGTAATATTCCTTATGAAGAAAATAAAATGAATCATTTATTTAAGGCATATTAAAGTGCTGATGAAAATTCAGCATGTTAAATACACTTACTTTGCATTTGTAGATCTCAGGTCCCTCGAAACTAAATTGATTATTTTCCTCAGGTGCACATTTCATTTCATACTCCTTTGTGAGTACTGAATTTGAGAAGTATTCGTTTGGAGAAAAATGGAACTCCAAAACAAAGCCCTATAAAGAAATAGTTCACATGAAAATATGTCTTCATCAGCATATTATTCAAGTCTTGGTATTGTAAGAATAATCAGCAATTAACATCAAAACAAACAGAAACCATCCAACATAAAAATAGATGAAAGACAACCAGAATTATATGGGACACCCAGTGTGATGCCACATAATCTGCTATGAGGTTACTAACATTTCATGGAACATACTGCCTCCATCCTCATGGTTCAACTGCATGGTATAACATCTCAAAAGAATAGTCTTAATACAAAATATTAAGACAACAGACTTCTAGGATGTAATGCCATACAGTACAGCAGAAATTGACCAGTGTTTCAGAGGTCACGCTACTTCTAGACAGCATCAAATCTCAGAAGACTGCATTCTTAATGCAAAGAAGTTATGATTACAGCCTTGTCAGATGCAACTCTTATGTAGCCGGGGAGACAGGTATAAACATTTTGGAAGAATATGCTTCAGCAGAACAGCAAAGCCTAGTCTGACGATGAGGGCAGCGGGTTGCCTGAAATGGCGGCAACCACCTGCAGAACAACACAGCATCATCCACAATCTATGTTTCATCACTGTGAAAACCTCAAACCTGCTGCAAGAATTCCTATATAATCACATTACCAAAAAATAGTCATTAGAATTTCGGTAGATGATGATTCTGTCAGACCGCCTCTGTGGTCAAGTGGTCAGAGTTCCTGGCTAGAAATCCAGAGGTCTGGGTTTGATTATTCTGAGAAGTAGTGAGCCTGGAACGGGGTCCACTCAGCCTCATGATAACTGAGGAGCTATTTCAAGTAAATAGAGGCTACAGTCTAGAAAACCGAGATTAACAGCCATGGGGATCCGTTGCGCTGATCATGTGACACAATCTACCTGCTAAAGTTGGCACTAACTTCGCCAATAAGCAGCGGTCACTTGGTCAGTATAGTTCACTTGCGGACTAAGCCACGGAGTTTTTTTGATGAATCTGTCACATTGTCATGCGAGTGACTGCGCACAGATTATAAAGTTATCTTTTAAAAACATTACTTCCTCTAATGCCAAAACATAACTTACCATGGGATTGGATTCCAGTAATATTACTTTAATATCAAACAGATGTTTGAGGATCGGCTCGTCATGTTCTTGAACCATCTCAGACAACATCTGTACGTTTTTGAAGATAGTCAACCAGAAGTTAGGGATGCCTTTTGTTTCTTCATTCTTGTTAATCCTAAATAATAAACCACACAGGTCTGATAACTGGAAATAAAATTAATAACCATGATCCAGGAACAGGGGATTTGTAGTATGATGTTGGCTGCTGGATTTAAACTTAACACCCAGAGAATATGGATAAAAATGGCTTCTCAACCAAATATGTATGACTTACTCGTTCTCCTGCTTCTTGTCAGCATCCACTTCTTCAATCCTAACTTTATTTTTCATGTCAGCACTAAGATCTTCCTCCTTTTCATCATCAGACTCCCATTCACATTCCAGATCTGTTGGTTCATACACGCCTGAGATTACTTCTCCTCTCTGAAAGACAACAAAATTACTTAATGGGTGTTAAGTACACTAAACGGATATGAGTGGGCAGCTTCACTCACCAGGAGACAGAGTCCGGATAGGAGGTTAAGCAGGCACCAGAGTCTGAGTCCTAGTCTCCACCAGATAGCAGGCACCAGAGCCTGAGTCATAGTCTCCACCAGATAGCAGGCTAAGCAGGCACCAGAGCCTGAGTCATAGTCTCCACCAGATAGCAGGCTAAGCAGGCACCAGAGCCTGAGTCATAGTCTCCACCAGATAGCAGGCTAAGCAGGCACCAGAGCCTGAGTCATAGTCTCCACCAGATAGCAGGCTAAGCAGGCACCAGAGCCTGAGTCATAGTCTCCACCAGATAGCAGGCTAAGCAGGCACCAGAGCCTGAGTCATAGTCTCCACCAGATAGCAGGCTAAGCAGGCACCAGAGCCTGAGTCATAGTCTCCACCAGATAGCAGGCTAAGCAGGCACCAGAGCCTGAGTCATAGTCTCCACCAGATAGCAGGCTAAGCAGGCACCAGAGCCTGAGTCATAGTCTCCACCAGATAGCAGGCTAAGCAGGCACCAGAGCCTGAGTCATAGTCTCCACCAGATAGCAGGCTAAGCAGGCACCAGAGCCTGAGTCATAGTCTCCACCAGATAGCAGGCTAAGCAGGCACCAGAGCCTGAGTCATAGTCTCCACCAGATAGCAGGCTAAGCAGGCACCAGAGCCTGAGTCATAGTCTCCACCAGATAGCAGGCTAAGCAGGCACCAGAGCCTGAGTCATAGTCTCCACCAGATAGCAGGCTAAGCAGGCACCAGAGCCTGAGTCCTAGTCTCCACCAAATAGCAGGCTAAGCAGGCACCAGAGCCTGAGTCCTAGTCTCCACCAGACAGTAGGCTAAGCAGGCACCAGGGCCTGAGTCATAGTCTCCACCAGATAGTAGGCTAAGCAGGCACCAGAGCCTGAGTCATAGTCTCCTCGGACAGGAGGTTCAGCAGGCACCAGGGCCTGAGTCCTAGTCTCCATCAGACAGTAGGCTAAGCAGGCACTAGGGCCTGAGTCCTAGTCTCCTTGGATAGGAGGCTAAGCAGATACCACAGCCTATCTGGCTACGATGCTCACAACAAACGTTACAGTCCCTGCCAGAAATTTTACCACACTTCTTTGGTCTTCCAGCTGGTAGCCGGGTCAGTAATACACACAGAACTATCCTGGTTCCCCTTTACAACACCTATCAGTGATAAATACAAAATACCATGGAAAATACTAATAGAACTGCAGTGTCAATTGTCATACCTTTTCATAGAGCGGTGTATACAGCTTATGATATTTGCATTCCAATAAATGAACTTCTTCGTAGAATTTGGCTTCTATGTTAGTTGCTTCTAGTTGAATTTTCTTAAGAGCTTTGATTCTACGCTTCACAGGGGCAGGCAATTGCTGAAACAGACAAAGTGACATGTGCATTGCTACAAATTAAAATATGTGCACACCTACCAAAAATATTTTTCCCACCGGTTACAATATTTACATTTTGTACTAATTCCATGATGCAGAATCCATCTTGAGGAAGTTCCAGTTGTCCGAGTTAACGAATAATTTTGCCACATTTGATGGAGTCTGAATGCTAATTATCATGTTTACAAGCACCAATCACCGATCTCTACCCTCAACCAGATACTCAGAGCCCTTATCGATTAATTTGTAGGGACTGAAATCTTTTGTTTTCAATTGTTCACCTCCGATTTTACAACACATAAACTGCTGAAAAACTAATATATTACATTCACAGCTCATGAATCTCACAGCAGTGAATATTAATATCACTGTCTTCTAGTGACACCAAGTAGTTTGGTAAATAAGTATGTACTTCTTTACCAAACTGCACGGTGTCAAATCCAAGAATATCTGCAACACTGATATCAGGGTTAAAGAGCAACCTGCTGACTCCAACTTCAAAGCGTTAGCAGTGAGCTGAACAGGTAAATGGTACAGAGTTGACACGATTTGGGATCCTTGCCTTGGCTTCGTAACTTTAGGCGGGGGGGGGGCCAAGAGGGGATCACAAACATGTGCTCTATTATCCAGTCTGCAAGTTGATGACCAGTGATCTCTGACAATACACATGCTGTGCTTTGGACAGGTATGAGGTTATCAGGCTGAATGATATAAAGGCATGACAAGGGTAAACTCACATACTGCTAACAGCAAAAGCAACAGAGGGAAAGGACAACTGCAATGAGACCTATAGGTAAGTCACCTATGTTCTCTCCACATTGCCTCCAGACATTTCTTACTTTTCCATCTTGTAAAAATGTCCCCTTTAAAGGCATTAATTCCTACTGGCCTACTCAAGAGACCTGGTCGAAACTCTCTCTTCCCTATATCACATACTATTTTCTTTTACTCCACTCACTTCTACTCTAAAGATGCAGGAATCAGATTCCTCCAAATTATTTGTACCTATCTCCCAAACTACATCATAATATCCCCAACAGCCACAACCTTAATATTTAATTTTGACACTACACAAGTATGAGCTATTCAGAGTATCATCAAATAAACCATAACAAAATTACTTAATTAAAAATTTGCCTGAACTGTAAAATGTTTCAAATCAACACTCTAAGCTTCAGTAAGGCCTTTGTGTCTTGTAACAAACGTTTTTCGTAATGACCAAACTTCAGGAAAACAAAATTTGATTTAAGACATAGCATACGCTTCATAATGTAGCAAAATGAAATCTGCAAAACTATCCAGTGTATAGCCACTGAATCGCTAACCAGCTAATAAGTGAGGCCACTAAAAAGAATGATTTACTTTCTGATCCAGACATAGTTCTTTGGAAATATTTACTGCGTTATTTTTATGAGAAAAGGGAACATTCATTTAACTCGGTTTTCAAACATGACTCTGGAACATCACCTGCTTGTGAGTCAAGTAGTGTCAGTAGAGCAGCAAACAGCAAGTTTCATGCTTGGGCAGAGAGCAAGGTGAGTAGTTTCCAAACATTTTCTTACATGACTCTATGCCACAAACCAATTCTTAACAGACAGTGGCAAAACTATTACCTCCAGCATTTCTGCATGCAAACGCCCTTGTAAAGCAGCCAACACATCTGGGCGCCGTAGGACTTGTTCTGTGATACCATCCACACCTGTATTCTCCTCTACTTCTTCTTCCACTACATCATATCTTACTTCGCCCAGAATGTCTCGGTCCGACATGGTTTCTTACCGGACTGAAATATAATACAACTTTACATGTCATTTGGCCAAAATGTGTACATACATTCTTCAATTCATAGCTGTACACTTCTATGAAGGTATAACTTGTATCCTAACAACTTCTTGTGTCCTACTTCCACTGCATTAAGCACACAAAACAGAAATTGGTATTCTACTATTTTATTACGTCTTTCTTTCAGGGGTCATGGTCAAACCAAATTTCAAACGTAGTTAACTACCCGTACATAACCTTCATTCATTAAACTACACTAAACTCCGTTAAACATGAATACTTTTCACCGGCATGTGCATTAGAACTACAAATACATCACCGCTGCTTATGAATCATGTCAAACTGAATTAACAATTGGAATGTCGGCCGTCTCTTATGCACATGGAAACCATGTTCGTTTAACGACATTTTACATTTTAAAATACTCAAAAGTGTAATTAAAGCAGCCGCCATACAATAAGATATAAACATAAACTACAAGTATAACGTTATTGTCAGATTAGGATGCATAATTTGTCTTCGAAATCTAAATTTACACTCCCTCTTTGTGCCGCTTGCCTTTTTACCGCTCACACTCTTTCAGAAGAGAACGGTGATGGTGAATATTAAGGGGACAGGGTATCCAACTTTACGTTTAAAATAATAACCAACAAAAATACATCAAAGTTCCAATGAACGTTTTATCTTCAACAAATGTTGAATTGACTAAAATAAAACAATTGGTTTTGTAATATAATGCTTCGAAACGAATTAATGGGTCTGTAAGTTAAATTTTATAAACTGTGGTGGGATGACGTCATAATGTGATGTCAAGTTCTGAAAGAGCAGTAGCCAGTGTTAAATGGCTCTGCCCTTCGTTACGCATAATATTTGATATTTCGCACCTAAAACAGAAGTGGTATGGTGCTAACAAAATCGATTAAATAGTACTCTCAAATTAGTATTTTGATTATACCAGTAGCACTGACTTCCTTTTCTGCACAAAGAAAAACCATACCAGTGAAATACAGTATATTCCAACTTTTCAGCGTAACTAGCGCAAATGCGAAAACTGAATGCGAGCTATAACGAGCATATATTAATATTATCTAGTTTAGGGCGTGGATATAAATCTGCACTGCACAATTAGTTATTACAGATGCAGCACGTAATCGTTTTTTGTAATACTACCCCCACGCTACTTGGACCGCAAATGGGCCCACTGTGCTAGCCCTGGAGGGCAGATGACAAAAGTACGTAACGTGTAACGATAATTGGCAGTGGAAAACTTAAGTCATTCAAAAAGCTGCCCCAGCGCCACTTTATCCACCACAAATCATGAACAACTGCCCTGGGATAATTTGGACATCAGCAGTGGAGGTTGGAGACTAAGTGTCTCAACAATGTCGTCCCCATTCCTCACAACGCCTACTGTTAAAGCAGTATACTCAATAAAACATGCAATTTTTCGATGATTTAATTTTCGTATAAATGAGGGGGGTAGTGTTTTCAAAATAATGAATAGAAACTAAACTGCACAGACTCAACTGTGATATTAGTATGAACGTTGTTCTTCAATCACAAAATGTTTTATATATCCTGGACCCACTTTATAGACACACAGTGGAGGAAACTTTGCTCAAAATATGTCTGAATTAAATAACAGTCACATACTTTTGCTTGAAAGCGAGCTGAAATAGCACACTACATATAGTGACTGGCTACAGACTGAATGGAGTTCAGGATCTGGTAGGAGCAAGATTTTTCTCCTCCCCATTTCATCCAGACTGGTTCCGGGGCTCCTTCTCCAGGGGTTAAGCAGCCAGGGTATGAACCTTACCATTCACCTGCAAGTAGTGCTGAGGTCAAGAATACATGAATCTAGACATCCACTCCACCATACATCTCTCTTTCTTTCTTTATTTCATTTTCCCATGAATCAAAATACACTGATACAGGACTCGTCATATCGCAATACTATCAGCAAAAAACATATACATAGTGCTTAATTTAAGCACACGGACAAATTTACCTTTTACTTTTGCTTGAATGCAAAGTGTTTGAGCAACACTAATTCACAGTTAATCATAACTACCTCTTAGAACATGGCAGTTAAACTGAAGATACCTGATTAAGGGAGGAGAAGCTAACAGTTGATGAGCTAGTCAAGAAAGTCTCCTCTTTTATAGAACTCAAAAGTTTACTACTGTGTTCATAAGACCCCATCAATGGTTCCTATCCTCTATATCCAATGAATACAGTCCACGCACTTCTAACCTAGTACTTCATCCTTCTTCAGTGACAATCAAGGAACAGTTTGGTGAGGCCTTAGGCATAAATATTCATACCATTTTCCACAGAAACTATGTGATGGTTGAAATTCTATCACTAGATATTTTTGTCTCAGTGTTCATCATGGAATTATGGAGTGGAGTCCGGTAGGTATAAATTTCCAGACATTATGCATGCACGCACGTGCACAGGCACATACACACTGACACATACAATGGAACCCCCATTTAATGTTCCTCGGGTTCAGTTTTCGGCTCATGTAATGTTGAATTTCAGTTATACCAAACTAATAATCTGAATGTTAAATTACCTCCATTTAAGATTTTCTGCAGTTTAATGTTCAGATCCTCTGCTTCCAAAGGAAACCTTAATGGGAGTTTCACTGTACAAAAATGAGAATTAAACAATGAAATAAAATTAATTTATTGGTCACAAACTAAAAGATCAAATTATGAATTGATTTCTTCATGTTTTCTTGAGTTGAACATGAGAATTAATCTATATTTTGGTGTTTCAGAAATGGACAGATTTGAAAACAGACACACTTGATTTTATGGAAATTACAATTGAGGTATCACATTTAGTTTCTTCTATCTAATTTAAAATTCCCTTTACAAAACAACTCTTCAGGTATATAATGTAGATATTAAAAAAACCAGTAAGGTATAATTATTTTCAACCACAACTCACACCTTCTCAAATAATACAACAAAATCAACACTGTGGAACCAACGCTGTGCATCCAAATATCAAATGCTATAATATTATCATTCCTACAAGGTGACAAAAGAAAATTACATCAACATTTATGTCTTTGTAACAAATATTATTATATTCAGGTATAAAACAAAGCAATATTCATACACTAATCTTTACTTTTATCCAATAAAAACGTTGCCCACCAATAAAAGGCAGAGAAATGGTCTCGGAGGGATAATACCATCTTCCATTCTGCTCATATTTCTGAACTAAGTACATCTACTTCCTTCCAAGAAGGAATCATAAAAGCACAGCCATCCTTCTCTCTGATTTTTTACCCCCAAAATCTACGAAAAATGCAAGTAACTTTAAAAATTAACTCACATAACCACAACAATCTCTATATATCTTAGTGGAAGCATTCCTGGTTGTTGAGACATTTATTTCACTTTAAACGTGAGTGAAGTGTACTGTCAATGGGTTATCTCAATATCACATAGAATTCACTTCATACAAGAGAATGTCACATAGGGTGGCAGCAGTGGTGACCTGAATCAGAAATTTCTGTCACCCTACTTCTGTAACTTATTATAATATGGAAGGTCCCTGTTAAATAGGTGATATCTGGGGATACCATAATTCATACTGTAAATGAGGTATCACCTTACTAGTCAGTGGTCAAACTGACAACAGCTCATGATTTTAATAATATATCATTGTGTTAGTCTCCAGAAATAGGGTCAAACCAAACTTTCCCAAAATCAAGACACTGCAATTATTTATTGTGTATGCAGATGTATAAAGGGGCATGTAATAGAGTCTATATTTTTATGAAAAATACTGACTTCTTTAATATCAAGGGTTATTCCCCCCACAAAAAGATCAAAATTCCTGAAATATATTAATGTACTAAATTCATGTACATTTAAAATCATAAATACTTTCACTAACAGTAAGTCCTACATATTCGTTATTTTAAAGAAGCTATATCTGTGTGCAATTAAGTATGGATGGAAGGTCAGTGTTCCATCGTTCGGTTTTGGTTACCATCATTTAAAAGAATCTAGTATCCTATCAGAATAGGTATTATTCTAGACTGATAGAGTAGGATTCAGTTCACGTTCAGGTGGATGAATGACAAGACACGATCCTAAAACACAAAAGGATAAAAGCTGCTGTTCTATCTCTAGCATGAAGCCTCCTGAAAATGGTTGCAGTTATCAATATCACATTTCTCCACACATTTTTTTTATTGCTAGTGTGGTGGGACTAAGTCCCTTGTACTGCAGCCACTTCTGGCCTACTGTACCAGCCCCAGATGATAGGTGAGGGTGACTGTGGAGCAATTGGTGGAATGAAGATTGGCAGGGGAAACCGAAGTACTCAGAGAAAACCTGCCCCAGCACCACTTTGTCCACCACAAATCCCACTTGACCAGACCAGGGATCCGACCCGGGCCGCTGCGGTGGGAAGCCAGCAACTAACCGCTTGAGCTATGGCACAGCCTTTATCCACACATACTTCGTTCATTTAATCCATTCTTACATATGAGAAATATGAAAAATATTCTGAATTCACAATTTCACTGAATATGCTCTCTATGAAGCTGAAAAGTTATGGAAATACAGCTACAGTCTATATTAACATTATGACGCGCAACACAATCAGTACTAACAGACTCTGTAGTCAGCATGTGGGCAAGCCACCAAGTGGCACCTCCATTGGTGTTCCTGCAAACTCACTGCTACTAGCATGGAGTGTGCATTACAGTACTATTTTGTGGACATCAGTTAACTGTTTAATGGTACTGTCAGTATCAAGACTATATAGCACTGATGGCAAGATAATTAAAGAATGTGGAGCAGTTGGCAGAATGAGAATTGGCAGGGAGAACTGAAGTACTCAGAGAAAACCTGTCACATTGGCACTTTGCCCACCATCACAGACCCCACATGGCCTCAAACGGGATCAAACCTGAGCTGCTCCATTAGGAAACTGGTGATTAATTTCCTGAGCTGACATGGCATGTCCATATATATGTTCACAGACATAGCTGGTAGAGGAGTAGAAGGTGGCAGCAATAAATCAAAGGCATGCTTCAGCTGGTAGTGAAGTGTCCACCTTTGCCAAAAATAGTTCAGAGTTTACCTCACAGACAGCAGCGCTACTTAGTGCATACCATAATTCTATCATGTTTACTACTGTAACATAAAAAGAGCTGTCCTTTCAGAACTTGGACAACTTATTAGCATTAGATACTTCTGATGTTTATTTCCATAGGAACAAAATGTTGCACATGCAGAGAAATTATTTCAACATATTTTATGATCCAACTGCAATAATTATCTTGATAAACAGAATTGATAAACTGAAATTTCAACAGGCTTTATGCTGGTCAGTTATAATGTGTCTTAAATGCTGATATCAAAGAACAGAAAGGAACATTGAACTCTTTCTGCCAATATGAAGTACTACAAATGAAAACAGCATATAGAATCTCAATTAATGATGCATTATTTTGATTTTCACATGGGTAACAGTACTTATTAAGCACTGTACACAGTCACCTTGATATAAAAAAAAAAAAAAAGATTGGAGATTTCATCACTTACATAAATAAAATATTAATATATGGAGGGAAGAACTTGTTGGCAGTAGCACAAAATGAAAATATTTCAAAACAGTAACAAAAATAATTTCTACTTAGGGTTTGTACCATTTGTCTTAGAAAAATGGAACACACAGCACCACTTCATTTCAAAATGAATTCCAACAGGTAACATGGTCAGGAAGAAACATACATAGGAAGGAAAAACTATATCTTTAGGACTGACATAATTCAGTTACACTCCCCATGTTGAAACAGATAGATCACAATTATCTAAAATTAGAGAGTACCATTACAGCACCATGTAGTCCGGTAGACTGGTTCCTCTGAAATGTAATTCTCCATTAACAAAGCACTGCTCTTCTCCAGAAGTGCAGGATTGCTTGGATGCTAACTAAGAGGAACACACAACAGATCAAAGAAAATCGATTGTGGTGAAATGGCCAGTAATAGCCTTAATCTAATGTAATCCTCCAAAACAATGGTCCTCATCTACCAAACTAAACAGCATCATATCTCAGAAGACTGTGGTCTTAATTTTCACAATGAAAACCACATATTTCACACATTAATCTACTCCAATTTACAAAACTGTAACTACATTGAATAATGAATTTGTGTATTTCAATGCCAATAAATACAGTCTCAGTAAAATTATGATAGCGCTCTAAGAGGATACCTGAAATACTCAACACAAAAACATTTTCACTGAGAATGATGTACTCTTTCAATACACTTAAGATGTCTTATTTGCAGAATGTTCATGGGAATGACGTTTAGAATCCCCCTGTAGTTTCTGCCCTATTTAATCAGGATTTCAACTTTACTTTTACTCATAATGCTGCCAAAAATAAAGCATTAAGAGAGATTAGGCAGAGCAGCAAGCCACGGGGAGTAACTGTATATCAAGAAAAGTGTCTAGGAAGCTCGTACATACAACAGAAACAAACATCCAATTGAGCAAGCAAAGCACAGCTATGCAAAACAAATTCTTGTACACAACTGGCAACTCAGGATATGTTATCGATAGGTCAGCAGGGGTTGAAAAATATGGTGTAGCAGGTGTAAAATTTTGGCAGACATTTCCAACTTGCCATTTGATTGCAGACTTTTGAAGTTCTGGCAATTTCTTGTTGGCTCAGAGAAAATGGCAAACCATACCAAAAGATTATGATTCTGCTGTTGGGTATTTGCACCACATGGAACAGGGTGGAGCTTCAGAGCACATGATGCCTCCATTCTAAATGACAGCAACAAAGCCCATTGTGTGCAAATGCAGAATGTGGGATTAGTATCAATACTGAATCACTGTGAAAGCCTAAAATCAATTAACACATCCAAAAACAATTAAGACCAACACTTACAGTAAGTCATAAGAATTAATTTCTCTTTTAAATTAAGTTTGTTTTCTGTTATCTTATATCTAGCCTGATGGTGTTCATTGCTAATAGTGTGCCAACAGGAAGAAATTAATCTTGTTTGGCAGGCAGGAGTTGAAGCCAGAGCAGGGTAGCAGAAATAGTGTCCCACCTTTCTCTGGTAACCAAATTACTCGTCCAAGTACCAGATTTTCAAGAAATGTTCAACCCCTGGCTCTCAGCATATCAAGACACCCTTTTATAGTATAGGATCTCACCATATCCAGCTTTGACCTTCATATAAGGAATGAAAAAATAGTAGGAAAAGTGGGCTGCTGCCTCTGTATGTTGAAGGACCATCCAATTCAGGTTAACAACAATCTTAAAAACATATATGATGGTTGTTCACATGAAACCCGTGTGTGTGGGGGAGGGGTCTAGGCAAAGGAGCAGAAGCCGTTGAAAATAGTTCCCTTTGGTCATGAGGCATCCATTCATTAACATGCCACCCAATGGATTCCCTCCACAATGAACTCCTTGAGATACTACTGGAACCATTGAACCAGCCATATGTGGGCAGATACGCAAACAGGATTCACTGGAACAACCCCCATATTTGAAGTGGAAGCATTGAACAAAATATAGAACAAAGAAGTGAAACTGTGTACCCCAGAAGTATATTACTTTCCTTTTTATTGCTCAGTTTCCTGTAACTCCTTTGTGGCTGGCATTATCATGAAGCCTTAGATTTGTGCTTACGGGTAAAGGTTGGAAACAATTTGCGTTTCTTTCGACGGAGATCATCATCGGCTGTTGAATTAGAGTCAGTAGAATAGGTCTCATCATCTGCCTGAGGTTGCTCTCGAGACGGCAAACTAGTGAGCGAAGTCTTCTTCACTGGAGTCACTCTTGCTACAGGAGAGCGGGAAGTGTCTAGGCAAGTTTCTGACAGAGATGACTTTGGAGGAGATGCCTGAAACCATAGTGAGAATTTCCATTGATATAGAATGAATAATACAATTATGTTTTCAGTGTCTAGGCAAGTTTCTGACAGAGACGACTTTGGAGGAGATGCCTGAAACCATAGTGAGAATTTCCAGTGATATAAAATGAGTAATACAATTATGTTTTCAGTGTCTAGGCAAGTTTCCGACAGAGATGACTTTGGAGGAGATGCCTGAAACTATAGTGAGAATTTCCATTGATATAAAATGAATAATACATTTACATTTTCAGTCTGCTCAAATCTGAATCTCATGCAGTGCCAGAACCACTTTTTTACATCTATTCTGAATACCCACGGTATCTGCACAATTGTCATCGTTTAATAAACACAAAGTTTTTTCACAGGAATGGTTGCTTGCTTTGTCAATAATATGATATACTACAGCTAAAACATTACATTTACTCATGTAATAAAAGAATATTGGAAATGAAGACTTGAATGGCACCCAGTCTACTGCAATATTTGCACACTGCTTCAACAGTCTTGGGTACATCTGAAAGAATGAAGAGTAAAGTGAAGGTAAAGTTGTTCCTGTGCTTCATTAATTAAGCACCATGCCATGAAGGTGTATGAGGGAGCTGAGGTATATCTCTACATATTCTTAACCAGAGCACTAGGCGGAAGTATGTGGTCAGCTTCATACCCTAGTCATTTTACTCCTGGGTAAACAGCCCCTGGTATTCATAAGATAGGACATTGGGCAGCCCCCAAGGCTGATATGGACAATGTAACAAGAGAAGTCTCTGTCCCAGCCAGAAATTGAACCCCACTTCCTTGGCCATTCAATCTGCATCCCATTGCTATATGTTATATGGATTAATATTTTGGGGGAACTCTTCACATAGTATAATAATTTTTAAAATACAAAAGAACATAATTAGAATCATTACAGGATGTAGAAGTAGAGATTCATGTAGAGAATTATTTAAGAAATTAAAAATTCTACCGCTTCAATCGCAATACATATTATCACTTCTCCTATTTGTTGTTTACAACAAAGATAAATTCAAATTAAATTCTGAAGTCTATAACATGAATACTAGACAAAAATATAACTTCCACCTACCCTCATCAACTTTATCAGTATATCAAAAAGGAGTCTACTTTACTGGCATAAAAGTGTTCAACAATCTGCCACAAAGTATTAAAAACTTGGGCAATGATACTAAAAAGTTTAAATCAGAGTTAAAGAATTATCTACATGCTCATTCCTTCTACTCTTTAGATGAATACTTCAATGTAAATAGAGAATGATGTAAAATTAAGTTATATTAATTTTTAAGCTAAAATTGCCTGTACTTATGTATGTAACCTTTTGACATGTTCTGTATCCAAAGGTACTAACCTGCTTAGGATTTATAGAATGTAAATAAATTCAATTCAATTCAATTCAATATAAAACCTCAGACACACTGGTTGTCAAGAGAACAGAGTACATTCCACTCTTTACATGTTCCATACTGGTAAACAAAGAAGAAGAAAATAAAACATTTAAATCTTTATATATACTACATTTTTTGTAGACTGAAACTATTCTAAAATTAATTTATACAAACTGGTGATAATTTTGTTTTTATTATTCCTCTAGGTATTATCTGTTTCTCTTATCTTCAAAGCATGACTAGTTCGGATGCTGATGAATAATGATACACTGCATATAGTACCTACTGCAAGAATTCTTGGTTAAAGCACTGACTTTCGGACTTATATTATCAATGCAGGTAACATGGGCCTTGGCACAATATGACATTTTGTCATTGATAACGGTTTATTACTAAAGTATATTTTCTTCCAGTAAATTAAATAATGATAAAAAGATCACCTTTTAAGTACCCTAACCTATTCCATGCAAAACAGATACCATAATTCACTTACATCTCTCTCTAGAACCAATACATTTGTATCATGGCTATAGGATCTGACCATTTGAAGTTGTGACTGATGTTCTGAATGATGTTGTGAGTGGTGTTGAGGTCTTGGTCCATTCTCTTCTCCCAGACTGCAAACAGAAATGTATTAAGTCACAAGCTTATGGCCATATGTTTCTGATACATTAAGTGTGCACACCTCAAGAAGTCAAATACCTGAGGATAAAGGGAGAGAAAAAGAAACATTTTAAATCTTTCATTTATTAAATTAAAAACAAAATCATGACCTAAGGCCAAATCAACATTTTGAGGGTTAAAAATATATCCATTAACCTTCTGAAACTGAATATGTTAGTCTAGTAATAACACCCTGGATCTGAACTTGGAGGGTGCTTGGTCTGAATCTCAGTTGGGGTACTGGCTATCCTGACAGGTTTTCTACAATTTTCCTCAGTCCTTCTAGGCAAGTGCTGGGATAATACTAGACCTAGGGATTCCTGCAGAAAATTCTTTAAAATATTAAATATATTACCTCTGGCCTCACAGTACATATTCTCCCTGGCTCTGTTTGTGATTGCAAATAAAACTTGGTTCAGACAAAATTCTGAAATTCATAGTTTCAATGCTAGGAATAATTCCAATTTTTTCCAACAAATGACTCATCTTACAACGTTTCATAAAAGTTCTGCTTATGCAGGTGTCAAGATTTATAATCATCTTCCAGATAATATTAAGGTATTGGCATGTGACATTAAAAGTTTTAAGAGAGCATTAAAAAATATTTATATGAGCATTCTTTTTATACTGTCGATGAGTTTTTTAAGTTCATGGTTTGTGCTGACTGTCTTACAGTGTATACATCTTTTCACCTTATTCTTCACTTCCACACTACATGTTTCAGCACTAATGTGTCATCCTCAGGTGTCTTTATGCATGTTAAACTATTGTATTGCATGCAATGATGTCTTCATTCTAAAATGATTAAAATCTGTATTCGTCATATAGGATGATGAATTCTATATAATAAAACTTTTCAGGACTCTTCCTACGTCACACTCAAACACGCGAATTATGCCGATCCTCTTTTATGTGAGCATTCTTCCTACATATATTTGTGTATCGTGTTCCATGTTGTGTTTTGCTCCTGTTACTGCATGCGTTTTTTAAGTATAAAACTAGATAGCCACCTAGACATCATAAATAACGTTGTTATATTTTATGGTCATTTATTTATCTTTTTCTTGTTCTATGACTGTTAATTACAAATTGGTAGTATTTTATGCTCAAATAATTTAGTGTGTTGCACCTCTATTAACTAGCACACTTTCATAAAATGATTGAACTCTCCATGACTTGAGTGCAGTAATAGATGTGCTAATATGTTATTAAAATTTAATTTCATTTTATATAGTGGATATCTTTTTATGTACAAAGTTAGATAAGTTGAATTGTTTAATCCGTTTATTAATTCAAAATATTAGCTATATTTACAATCCTTTAAATTGTTACCTTGTAATATTTATATCTGCTTGTTGATCTTATATTTATTTTTGACAGAATCTTTTTATGACTGCATGTTCCTTGACTTCCTCTATATCATACGGTTTTACCAGCCTGGAGTAACAGAAATGAAATAAATGAATGAATGAATGAATAAATAATAAATTTGAATATAGAAATTAGAATTTTAACAGTTTTAAATGTGTTAAAGTATATACTGTATGGATTTATGGAGTTAAATATGATGCTGATATTATAAATATAATGGGTCATAGGTGTGTAATTTTTTACTGTATTTGTTTTAGTTAATATGGGTATTTTATATGAAATGGTCTAAATACAAGTTTTATAGTAGGTTATTTTTTAAGTATGTCTATTAAATGAAATCTTATTAAATTCTTTTGCCCTATAATATTATCTATATTCATAGATTGATGTAAGTGTCTTTTGTTTTTTGACTCGTGCAATTTTGTATATGCATGTTTGATGTATCTGTATTCAAAAGGTCTATTTCCACATCCTGGTTTGTTAACCTGTATGGATATATATGGAATAATAAAGAATGAATGAATGAATGAATTAGACCACAACTGCTTCCAAATCTTCTCCAATTCTTCTATCATCCTAACAGAAGATGCTATATAGTCAGTGGTACTGAAAGCATTGTAACACAGAAACACACGGTGTCTTCACTACAAGACCTACCAGTTAACACTGTTTAGACATTTTTTAAATTATTCATAATTTAATGAGTCAGTAGCTTAGATTACACAGCACTGAACAGTAGGATGATTAATGAATAATGAATTGGGAAGGATTTGGAAGTGGTTGTTAATGTGCTATCCTGGCTTTTGCCTGGAGGGGCAGAAGAAAATCATGAAAAATCTGTCACAATAACTGGACAATATGCCAAAATCTGAACCTGGGACCTCTCCATTACAGAGCAGGTTGCAATACCCAATCAACTGCAGCATTCAATGCTGCTTAGGGAAATAATCACAGTTTGTTGTGAGGCTCATATGAAACATATAAATACACTGTATGGGTGAATATGCAAAGTTTTGAATGTTACAGTTGATGGTAAAGTATATTTATGATTATGTTTTAAAGGGTTAATAAAAATAATAGACCTGTCTCCAACAGTGAACTGTACATTACTGCTCAGACTCTGAGTATCCTGAGGAAAGTCATCTTCCAGCTCCTGTTTGCCTGTGTCACTGCCCGATGAATCTGCTCCTTCCTTCCACTGCAGGCTCTCCAGACACCCTGAAAGCACAGATCACCCCTAAAATTACATCCCCTCTACTGCATTAAATGTGCCCATCCATTCAAGAGCTGCCTTTATTTCATTACTTTTTAATTCAACATACTTTGACACTACATACATTTATACACTTTATGAGAGCAAGTATTCATATATCTGAAAATATTTCAAAGTGAAACAGCCCAACCAAATTATAAATGAAATCATATCTAACTACATGCTGGTAACTCTTTTATTTATACTAAATAGATTGAAAAAAAATCAGAATTACAGTATCTACAACATAAAGCATCTAATGATGATTAATGAATTGGAAATATTTTTAAAGGAAATGGTCATGGCCTAGTCAAGATACTATCTCAGCATTTGCCTGGAGAGACTGATGAAAATCAAAGAAAACCTCAGCCATGATAGCTGGTGTCCCGACCAATATTCAAAACAAGCACCTCCCAAATACAGGTTTAGAGCATTACCGCTGTCCCATACTAGCCAGTTTCTTTGAATGTGCGACACCCATGTAGGTGGGTACCAATGGTTTGGAGAACTCTGCTGCCTCCATCTTCAACGTAAAGAGTGATCTGCCCTTGGCAAGTTTGTACAGCTACAAGACAGGAAGGATATAGATGAATACTGATCTGCCTTTAGTCTTGGCCCCAATCTTTCCTTATGCAATTACCAATTTTACCCAATTTGTTCATGCTTCTAACCTAAAAATGCTGTCAATATACCAGACTACACAGCATCACATTCCAGATGACATTAAGCTTAATACCCACTATTGTGAGAACCTCAAAACTAATTTGTATTCTATTGCTTGTTAAGTTATGATACTTTATAGTATTTAACAAATATTGACTTTGAAATTCCAGCATTCTTTTACTATAATTAGAAAACTTACACTGGACAAAATTTTGAAATAAAAAAAACCAGCTGGATTGAACATGTTGACAAACGATATATGATATAAATTCCGTCCTAAGTGCAACAATTTATTGTAGGTCTTTCGTTTTGCTTTCTTCCGCACTACATGTTTCGGCCGCAAACGGCCATCATCAGGTGTATTCACTCACGTAGCTGTTACACTGCACCCAGTTTAAAATTTAAAACACACAGGTCTTCCCAATTGGCTAACAGGACCTACTTCGCTGATATTTGTCTGATTCGTACATTATCTTTGTCACCCATACACGTCAATTTTGACATTCATGAACTGGCACTTTTAAAATCTTCAGTTCCAATTTTAGAAAATTCCTTTAAAATTTTTTCCAAATTTTAAAATTTAAAATTTTTAAAATTCTCAGGGTTACTCGCGCCACATCTATAGTGCTGCAGCGGCTACTTCTTGTTTTCAGCACTGTACAGGTGTTATTCTGTGTAGGCTCCCTGTGTGCATGCCGCTGCTTATCTTTACTACGTGTTGACAAAATTCAAAGCAACAGTATTCACAGACTATTAAAAATTGACATGCCACAAGTACCAAGTGGGGAAGAACTTGAATGGACAACTGATGACGAGGAGTGTCCCAAGGCCCTGACTGCTAGATGATGATGATGATGATGATGATGATAGACTAATTCATAGTTGGGATTATTGGGTTTCTGGACTTCTTCATCTACTACATAACATCTTGAGCAAAACAGGTTTTGAAAATTGGATCTCTTTCTTTCTTAAGTGAAATGGACACAACTAAGGAGGAGTCTCCCCATTTTTTTACCTGGGGATGGAAAGAAATACAGAAATTGATGTGTGTTTTGTTTGTAATACAAGCTGATGGGAAAAGTCATAAAACCAAGTAAAATGAAATTTAATATATCATCATCAGAACACTTTTGAGTTGATTTATACTTTGTCAAAAGTGGAAAAGCACATAAGTTTTAATTTAATTGTGTTCTCTTGGTACTGTTATATATGAATCATAAATTTGTAATAATCAAAATCACTACAACAAAGATACAAACTTTGCCAAATATATAAATACATTACCTTTATTTTTTAATCATCCAGCAGATGTGTGATTTTTTGGAAAAGTTTGCAGATATGCACTAACTGTTTGCCCATTTGTGAACTTGCTGAAAAAAGCACTGTACACAGTGATCTTTCGGGTATACCTACTTCAAACATTCAGTTACCCCTCCTCTTGACAGCTTCTCTTGCACCATTCAGTATTTCTGAGGCCGGCTGCTGCTTACAGTTTGAGCAACATGACTTTACTTGCGGATTTTAGAAATCAAAAATTTCAGTTAATGTTTACAAGTAATAAATTCTAAATGTCTACTGTATATATAATAAAGGTGTGGTGTGTACTGTTTTTGAAGCAGTTTCTGAACTTCATCAGTAAAATGAAAATCATGAGGTATGAATGTTTCCTGGATACTGCTGTTGTCTATAGTTGAAATTATTCTCCAACTGTTCAGTGGCTAGCTGCCTCCATCTTCAGGAAAAATTACGGTGGGAGAAGAAATATCTAGCAAACATTAAATGTTTTTAATGGTGTGTTACAATAAACATAACTATCATTTTGGGTAATTTCCATCATCTTGAATTTTCAAACTCAATGTTCTGGAAACTGGATTTATTTCCATCATCAGGTGTAAGGGAAGACCTAACTAATAAGTACCTCCACAGACAAAGTCAAGAGAATATTTCTACATAGTTCACTTTATAGTCTTCTGGTGGCAGCCATGTTCCTCCAAAACAAATATGACCATCTATGACCATGCAGCTTGAAAACCTCAGCTATTCCACTTGCATCAGGATATCAGCCACTGTGACAAATTGGTTTGATGGGTTGATTTTCAACTTCCTATATTATCTTAGTCTTAGGTTCTTCATTACACTTCTTATGTTCCACTGATAAAGCCTAATCCTAAACATATAGATATATGTGGTTAGGTGAGTTAAGCTGTCCAGTCATTGTGATTAACTGTTTCTAGTGGACCCAACCTAGGTCATGTCATAGTTTAGGCAGTCACAAGCTGCCTTCTCCCTGCAGAAGCTCAGGTTCATTCCCAGGGCATTCCACATGCAATTTGTGGCAGATGAAGTGACACTCAGGCACATTTTTTCTTTCAGTACTTCAAATTTTCCCATTCAAATTATGATTCCACCAATGTTGCATCATCTGAGGCTGGTACAATAATGGGTCCACTTGCACTTCAGGTACAAGGGACTCAGTCTCACCCCAGCACAACAGTAACATTAAGTTAACAGGCCAAACCGAGTATATACATCCCCTCTATTTCATTTAAGGTTGGAAACAGATCCAGTTTGCAAAATGTTATGTCCTGTTCAGAATACTAGATGATGGGCATAGTCAAGAAACCCACTAATCCTACATAGTATTATAAACCTTCAGAATTACACAAAAAAAAAAAAACAGTTTGAACTACAAATATGAAGGGGAGTTCCCATCAAATCATCATTCAATCAAACAAGCAAACTACGGAAGTAACAGTGTGTTACGTGCTTAAAGAGGATGAAAAGTTGCAACAGTAACTTGGGAAGGAAAAAGGCGGAGAAGGAAAACTGCAAATAAAAACAAAACACAGCACAGCATAGATGATCCGAAACACCAAAAAGAAAAGTGATTCTGGAGTTAATGGAATTACAGTTTTATACAGGTATTCACAGTATCGAGAACTCATATTAGGATCTCCCAGGTTATGGAACTATGTAGTAGGTCAAAACCAACATTTTGGAGGAACGCACTGCTTCCATCTTCAGGGTCAAAGTGAGCGTGGTGAGGATATGATCAGGTTGCATGGATGGTGGTCACTCGAACCCATGGGAGGGGAGACTACTGCGCACAGTCTGAGCCAACAGGAAATGTGACTTTACCAGGCACCAGAGTATTATCACATGGGAGACAAATTTCCTGTTCACTTCTTCAAGTGGTTCAGACTGGGTTCTTCCTCTTCTTCCCAATCACATGGGTCTCATTCTGACCCTGAAGACAGAGGCAACATGTTGCTCCACAACACTTACATCCAGCTACATTATCACATGGTGTCAAAACCCAGCAGACCTCAATTTGAATTATAGTATTTGTATTATAGAATCAGTGGTATGAATGGTTAAGTGGTTTAAATAAATCTTAAAAACAGAGAAAACAAGCTAGTGCATTTGCAAAGCAAAGTGTAAGTGAGTGATGCTGAGTGCATATCCAAAAAGGAACTGAACCTGTTCCTCAAGGTTTGTGACCAAGAAGGGATACTGCAATAACTACATAAAGAAGAACCAATGAGAGTAACCCTTATTTGAAAATATGAAAGCACTGGTTTGTTCTAATTTGTTGTACGGAATAGAGCATTTGTTTTATGTGTGAGGTCCATATTAAGTAAAAGGTGGTACTGTGTGACGTCTGTGGATGAACAATGAACTAGAAAATTCAATAGAGTGCAACAATTACATAAAGTTATCTACCCGTTGATGATCTTAGAAGGTCAAAACATGTCACAGAATTAACACTTATAAATAAGCAAACTGCAGTATATCAACAGTTTACAAGCACAATAAGTGGTACCTCCAAGACTGACTTAAACAGTGCAACAGGATGCTGCAAAGTATGGCTACCTGAGTAGCAATAGAGGAGTCAAAATTTTCACTAAACAAGTCTGTGTACATAAATTATTCTGACTGAAATATTTATAGTTCTTCTACAGATGTTTACATTTCTACTTTTGGCAGAATATTACCGCCACAAACACCCTCAAACCATATTTCTACAACTGCAAGTGCTGCAAAAAAGTCAGGAAAAGTGTGTCTAGCATAACCATTCTTGAGCAGTTGGTCTGCTGTTGTCTTTACATTTTCAATTCATAAATGCTAACTTCTGAAGTTCTCTCAGGTAATGAGATGTCACAGCATGAAGAAAGATCCTTTTTGTTTAGTTATCTGTAAAACCATAAGACTTACAGAAGGAGTGTAAAGTAAGTAAAGGTATCCCTGTAACAGGCCTTGGAGGCCTATAGGTTTGTGAGATGTTGAGGTTCCCATATTTCCA